CCCGCCGGTGACGAACGGTCGCCGCCCCTCCGTACCTGTCTCTTATACACATCTGATGTGTACACCCCCCCCCCCCAACTCGGACTTGGATCCACTTCATGCTTCACCACACACGACACCCGCACTTTGGCAGCTTAGAAGTGCGCATGAATTTTATTTTTTTGGTAACAAATAGTCGAGAATATTATTCTTTTTTTGTTTTTTTAACAGGGTAGGCGGGGGGCTTCTAGTTGCACTTGGATCCATATGTTGCTTCACCACACACAGAACGCGCACAGGGTAGGCAGGGTATAGGTGCTTGATCTAGATGTGTATAAGAGACAGCCCCTGACTTGCCCCCCCCCTTCGCTTCCCCCTTTTTCTCCTCCTCCTCCCTGTCTGCCTCCTCCCTACTCCTCTCCTCGTGCTCCACCACTTCTGGATCCTTCTCCTCCTCTTCTTGGTTGTCCTCGTCCTCCTCCTCTGCCTCCTCCTCTTCCTCCTCCTCCTCTTCCTCCTATTCTGCATCTTCTTCTTCATCCTCCTCCCCTTCCTCCTCTTCGTCTTCCTCCTCCTCCTCGTCTTCTACTTCGTCTTTTTCCTCCTCCTCCTCCTCCTCCTCCTCCTCTTCCTCTCCTTCCTCCTCCTCCTCGTCCTCTTCTAATTTTTCTTCTTCTTCCTCCTCCTCCTCCTCCTCCTCCTCCTCATCATCATCATCATCCTTCTTCTTCGTCCTCCTCTTCTTCCTCCTCCTCCTCCTCTACCTCGCCATCCTTCCTCCTCCGCCTTTTCCTCCTCCTCCTCCTCGTCATCCTTCCTCCTCCTCCTCGTCATCCTTCCTCCTCCTCCTCGTCGACCCTTTCCTCCTCCTAGTACTCCAATCTTTCGCTTTACTCAACAACACTTTTCAAGAGCTCCTAGCCTCCAACCATCGTCAGGGAAGCTTCGGAGGGAACGAGCTACAAAGCGGACTGATCAGGCTTTCGCTCCTATACCACCCTGACCCACTTTTTTTGTTCCCCTTAAT